AGTTACAAGAGAATCAACAAAGAACAGGAGAACAAATATAACCGTTAACAGTAATTACATATTCAGTTATTTGCTTGTTTAAATTATCAGAATGGTATGAAAATGTTTGACATGCTAAGGAAGATACCAGAAAAGCCATAATTATCAAATTTACAACTAATAATAGGAAAATACTGTTAAGTCATTCAAATGACTAAGATCAATGTGTTGGCTACTTTTCATTTTCATTTTAATCTGTTCACATATCTAAACGTTATTTACTGGGAAAATAGTCTCTCCTTCCGATAAACATGAAAATACACTAGCGTATGTATGCATTGATGTACAGACAGGCTACTTTTGTGACCATCTGATGAATGATGGCGATTGTTTTTGCCTCAAATGGATGATTTTAATGCCTTTGCTTTCTATCACCCGAGTAGTGTTAATTGTGTAGCTTCTGGACGATGTCATCAATGTGAACAAACCTATCAAAAATCAAACTACCCAGGTTATTACTCATTTCCTCTGTTAAATAGGTATTTGCTGACTCGCTTCAGTTTTGGTATAGATTTCATAGTTGGTTGTTTATCAAACGATATATATCCAGTGCACTTTTTTATTCCGTCTTTCTTCACTGCTGTGGGACACTATTATTGACAATAAAAGATATAAAAATTAGCCGTCTTACCATAGAGGTCTGCTTTCAATTCCCTGAGATAGATTACAGCAGTATGATCATTAATAATGAGTATAGGCGTTTTATCAGATAAGGAGAGGAAGTAAGTCAATGAAGTTGTGAAATTCTATCAATTCAGATGTCTGGGACACGTATTGCTTTTGCTGAGCCACTGCCTTTGCTGACAGACAGCATCAGCTGACATAGGATTAAGTACGAAAAGTTAGAGATGGTCATCTCAGTACTTGGTATTAAAACTTGAAATCTTTTATCGTTAGTTTGAGACGTGCATGGGTGTTCACAGTCCGTGGAATTCTAAGAATAAGTAGTATTTACCTACTCATATCTTAGCTCAAAATCATTCTTAATGGCAGAAATGAATTCACTTATTGCCATCCTTCAGATCCTAAAAGTCCTCATTATTCCTGAGGCAACTATTTCTCCTTCTTTACACTTTAATTTGTGGTTGATTTGATTGTACTTCTTTTCTTTACCTTTATGTTAAACTTTATGTAGTGTGGCAGTGTGAAATACTACACTTTTTTGGCAAGTTCTACACTGATCGTTAATTTAAGTTCAGTTAAAATAGTTATATACAAATCTCCTGACAGTTTCTGACAAGGTAATAAGACATAACTCTAGAAAATGAGTGACTCTGATCTCTTTGCAGTTAAAAACGACCAGATAGCATAAGATCAAAGCCTAAAATAACCCCTCGATAAAATGAAGTACATTCTGCTAGGAAATTCACGTGTGAAGAGGAATCGCAAAACAGAATTTTCGTTTTCCTAAATATCCTCCTAACAAGATTACCAAATGGTAGTATAAAGAGAAATTTGCATAGGAAAGCAAAAGCACAGGGCAATATACACATTTTCATAGCTTCGTTCCTCTCGAGTACAAAAGAAATTTAGTCAGGTCACTCAGCCATATGCTCAGAAGTGATAATTGAAGATGAACTAAGGATTGTACATGACACCCGGAATGAAAACAACTGTTAATCGCGATAGATAGATAGTTTGACAGATAGCTAATCGATATTATATGACCCTTTTGTCACGATTATTGGCTAATTTAATGTAACCCTCACCAAGTGATGTGACCTTGAGTGTTCTGTATTTCCTGTCACTCTATTGTGTGTATATATAATTAACTGTTCATTTTGACCGTTCCTTCAATACTGTTCGGTACGTTTTTGTCTTTTCTTGAGTGACAATGGATTTTGTGCTTTTCTTGGTGTAATTGTATGCTTTATTTTATGTTTTAGAAACAGATAAAGTTTAAGTGAAGTTACTCTGTTTTTAACTATAGTTAAGCCATGACTCTGTATCGTCAGTACTGAGGAAGGACTAAATCTGTAGGCAAAACTAATCCTACAAAAAATTATATTTGTAATCCTACAAAGTTTCGAACAGTATGGCAAACGAAAAATATGAGACTATGCCGACGTTACCTCTACAGTCAGAAAAGAGTAATGAAACTGATTTCCCCGGAAGCAACGAGTATAAGTCACGCTATGTGGTAGAGTTGGAGCTAGCGAAAATGTGCATAGTCCATATAGAGAAAGAAATTGAATTGGAATGATTACGACAAGCTAGTCGCGAATGTTCTGGCCAAAATAAATCGCCTAACAAACCCTCTACAAGATATGAAAGAGAAGATTTGTAGCTCAGGTGGATGATTTTGATGTGGTTTTGTTCTCTGAGCTGGATGGTTAGTTTGCGAAGCTTTCATCACCTTACTGGGTGACATCTTCAGCGCATACTTCAATTTGAAGTGAGCTTTTAGATTTCTCCACGAGTTTATTAATCATCTCTCCTGGTGACCTTGGACGTGATTGGTTGTTTATGTGTGTTTTCACACCTTCTAGGTTACTTGTATTGGAACTGATTGTTTCTTTGACTTGAACTTTGGCCCTTTGTGTGTGAAGTTTCTTTCTTATTGGTTGATAAATTTTGTCTATCTCGATGTGTCTATTGATTGATGATTCACTGGAATGCCAAGCTTCTAAAAATTCTCTAGCATTCTTGTTATTTCCTTTGTCTAATATTTGAACGTTGTCCCAGTCGAATTGATGTCCGTGGTTGTCTGTGTGTAGTGAAATGAGGGAGTGGATATCATGTCTTTTGACGGCTAGCTTATGTTCGTGGATACGAAGACGAAGGGGACGTCCACTTTGGCCAATGTAGTGTTTTTCGCAGTTGTTACAGTTTATTTTGTAGATGATGTTGGTTTTATCTTCTTTCGCTGTTGAGTCTTTTGGTTGACATAGAATTGAGTGAAGCGACTTTGTTGGTTTGTGTACGACGTCAATTCCTAAAGGTTTGAAGAGTCTTGTAGTGATTTCTGAGATATCCTTTATATATGGTAAGGCGATTTTCTTTGTGTTTTCCTTGGTGGCTTTTGCTTTGGTAGGTTGGCTTGGGGGTATATGTCTCTTGATGAAATTCCGTGGATATCCATTCTTTTGGAAGACGTCCATGAGATACTTTTCTTCAATTTTCCTAAAGGTGGGAGTGCTGCAGTGAGTCCTTGCTCTCTTGAATAGTGTTTGTATGCAATTCCTTTTGTGTGTTATTGGGTTGTTGCTGTTGTAATTCAGTATTTGGTCTGTGTGAGTTGATTTCCTATAAACTTGAGTTTCTAATTCTCCTGTAGTTGTTCGCCTGACTAAGACGTCCAAAAATGGTATTTTGTTCTCGGATTCCTCTTCTCTTGTGAATTTGATGTCGTTGAAGACGTTGTTTATTAAGTTGTGAGTTTTATCTAATTCGTTTCTTTTGATTATTACAAATGTGTCGTCGACGTAGCGTATCCAAATCTTGGGTTTGATCTTTGGTAGAATTATGTTTTCGAGTCTTTGCATCACTGCTTCTGCAATCAAACCTGATATTGGCGATCCCATGGGTGTTCCTTTGACTTGTTCATATATTTGGCCGTTGAATTGGAAGTATGTTGTTAGGCATAGATTTATGCATTCCATCCAGCTTGTGTGTTGCATTTTTGATTGTTGTGGAAGTTGTTCGTCGTTGCTAAGTAATTGCTCCATGGTTTCTTTTGCTAGTTTTTGTCCGATAGAGGTATATAATGCTGTCACGTCGAAGGATACCATTATTTCTTGTTCATCTATTTGGATGCCTCTGATTTTCTCTAGGAATTGGATAGCAGAGTTGATGGAGTGATCACAAGATTCCGTTAGGTGTTTTAGTTTTCTGAATAAAGAAACGAGTTAGATAAAACTCAAAACCTAATAAACAGCGCCTTCAACGACATCGAATTCACAAGAGAAGAGGGATCCGAGAAAAAAATACCATTTTTGGACGTCTAAGTCAAGCGAACAACCACAGGAGAATTAGAAACTCAAGTTTATAGGAAATCAACTCACACAGACCAAATCCTAAATTACAACAGCAACAACCCATTAACACACAAAAGGAATTGCATACAAACACTATTCAAGAGAGCAAGGACTCATTGCAGCACTCCCACCTTTAGGAAAATTGAAGAAAAGTATCTCATGGACGTCTTCCAAAAGAATGGATATCCACGGAATTTCATCAAAAAACATATACCTCCAAGCCAACCTACCAAAGCAAAAGCCACCAAGGAAAACACAAAGAAAATCGCCTTACCATACATGAAGGATATCTCAGAAATCACTACAAGACTCTTCAAACCTTTAGGAATTGACGTCGTACACAAACCAACAAAGTCGCTTCACTCAATTCTATGTCAACCAAAAGACTCAACAGCGAAAGAAGATAAAACCAACATCATCTACAAAATAAATTGCAACAACTGCGAAAAACACTGCATTGGCCAAAGTGGACGTCCCCTTCGTCTTCGTATCCACGACCATCAGTTAGCCGTCAAAAGACATGATATCAACTCCCTCATATCACTACACACAGACAACCATGGACATCAATTCGACTGGGACAACGTTCAAATATTAGACAGAGGAAACAACAAGAATGCTAGAGAATGTTTAGAAGCTTGGCATTCCAGTGAATCATCAATCAATAAACACATCGAGATAGACAAAATTTATCAACCAATAAGAAAGAAACTTCACACACAAAGGGCCAAAGTTCAGGTCAAAGAAACAGTCAGTTCCAATACAAGTAACCTAGAAGATGTGAAAACACACATAAACAACCAATCATGTCCAAGGTCTCCAGGAGAGATGATTAATAAACTCGTGGAGAAATCTAAAAGCTCACTTCAAATTGAAGTATGCGCTGAAGATGTCACCCAGTAGGGTGATGAAAGATTCGCAAATTAACCATCCAGCTCAGAGAACAAAACCACATCAAATCCCTCTACTTCTCATGAAGGGCTTATGGCTATGTTCAGAGAAAAGTCACGTCGTATTAACTTTACGCCTAAATTTGTCCAGTTCCTACGACAAGTTGACGAGATATTATTCTGGATACGTGAAAAAGAAACTTACGTAACATCAGAGGATTTCGGTCGGGACTTGGAACATGTTGAAACTCTTCAAAAAAGGTTTGATGAGTTTACAATTGATCTCGAGTATGAAGAAAGTCCTGCCGAAGACATCTATCGGAAGGGAGATGAACTTCTAAAGGAGAAATTTTCTGAGGATGTGCTAGTCATAGAAGAGTTCAGAGAGGTCCACAGAGCTCTAGAGCGTCTGAAGGACCTGGCTAAGAAACGACAAGAAAAGCTTCTGGAAGCCTATGAGATACGGCGCTTCTTTAGAGACACAGATAAAGCTATATTGTGGGTGAATGAAGGGTCCATTCCTTTATCCATTAAGGACTGCGGTCGTGATCTTGCCTCAGTTCAAGGCTTACAAAGGAAGCACGAAGCATTAGAAAGGGATTTGACTGCCCTAGATGAAAAGATTGTTCAACTTGGAGATGATACTAAGGGGCTTGCACAGAAGCATCCTGAGTCGCAAGACACTGTACAAGGCAAGCATGACACCTGAATTACTAAATGGGAGAAGCTGAAAGGTCAGGCTGTAGATAAGAGAGGTAAACTGGAAGAGTCATTTAAGATGCGTAGCTTTTTGGCTGACTGGAAAAACTTGAGTATCTGGATGAATGACATGAAAACGTTAATATCGGCGGATGATCTGGCAAAGGACGTAGCTGGTGCTGAAGCCCAGGTAGAGCGACATAGGGAATACACCGCTGAGATAAATTCTCGAGCTGACTGTTTCGATACATGTATGCAAGAAGGTCAGGCATTAATAAGTGTTGGCCATCCCTGTAGCGGAGAGATAGCTGCTAAACTTTCCGCTCTTGAAAGAGAGAGAACCTCTCTGATGCAGTTACGTGAGGAAAGACGTGAACAGCTAGAACAGTGTATGGGCCTCCAGTATTTTTACCGCTACTCTGAACAGTCGGAATCTTATATTGGTAAGCAAGAGGCCCTCTTAGAAATAAAAGATGTGGAAGACTCGCTCGATTCTATGAAAGCAGTCATAAGGAAACATATAGACTTAGAAAAGTCACCTTAGCACAAGAAGAAAAGATGCGACATCGCTGCAAAATTAATCGAATCAAATCACTATGCAGCTGCACAGGTTCATGAGATTCACGAATGTCTTCAAGATAGACGAAATGCATTAAAGAAGAAAGCTCAGGAACGCCGTCAGCGTCTTGAAGATTCCCATCGTTACCAATTGTTCGATAGAGATGCAGATGAAATGCAGTCATGGATATCAGAAAAACTTAAAAATGCAGTTGGTGAAAGTTACAAAAACTCCACGAATTTGCAAACATGGGTGCAGAAGCATCAGAATTTCGAGGCAGAAATACAAACCCACCAATCCCGCGTTGAAGATATTAAAGAGGCAAGTCAGGATTTGTTAAATGCAAGCCAATACAACTCACCAGAAATAAAAGTAAAGATTGAACAACTGGGTGAAATATGGTCTCATCTGATAAATGCCATGGGAGAGAAGAAGAAAAATTTAGATCAAGCAAGTAGGCAACAACAGTTCGTTCGCAACGTAGAAGATGTCGAGTTATGGTTGAGTGATGCTGAAGCTCAGGTGGCCTCAGAGGATGTCGGTCGTGATCTAAACGGTGTAATGAATGCAGAAAAGTGGCACAACTTGCTTGAATCTGATGTAGCTGCTCATCGTGAACGTATAGATGCATTCAAAGTCCAGGCTGATACGTTTGCTGCAGAAGTTCATTTCGACACTCCTACTATCCAAGAAAAACAAAGACAGTTAGCCCAATGTTACCACAACCTGCAAATCCCTCTAAGTCAACGTCGTGAGAAGTTAAGAGATGCCCTTCCCTCGGACACATCTTTACAGCTTGAATATAGTGATTATAGTGAGCTGCTGAAGTTACTAGTCTATTGTTGTAAAAATTCCAAAGTACATTCGCTTAACGAAATGGAATCAGAAATATGGCATCAGTATGCTGAAAGCTTCACTACTGGCTCAGTAGCCACTCGCAAAGATACCTCCACGTTATGGGTTAAAGATAAGAACCCTGTTGTTGAAAACTATATTGGGTTTATAGAGTCATACCGCGATCCCGTTGGCGTTTGTGCAAAGTTTGAATCATTTGTCGCTGTTGTAAATAGATCAGTGTCTACAAAATTCCAACGACTTGTAAATAGTGCTGAAAGGTTGTTAACAAATTTACCATGGCCTTCGACATTTGAAAAAGTTAATTTCTTACAGCCAGACTCTACTAGTTTGGATGTAGTGACGTTTGCAACTTCTGGAATTCCTGTTGGAACTAATATTCCTAACTATGATGACGTACGACAAGTTGATGAATTTAAAAATGTTTTTTTGGGTAATGTACTTCGTGCTCGCTTCAAGGATCCTAAAACAGAATTTCTACGTAATGAAGATGAACAAATGTACGTGGAACATGTTGAAAGTTCCTTTGAATTACAAGTTGGACTTTATGAACTGTTGGGATATGGTTCTGGTAAACTGTTTTAGCGTGATTGTTATGGAAAACGAAATTTCCACACGAAAACTACTGAAGATATCATAAATGGAGGTCCTGTAAAAGGTTGGTATGAACCAGGAGAAACGTATGACAGCAAGTTTTCCAACCTTTCCTCTGCAATAGATAAGTGTCGAGCTGAGCGCGTTGGAATTTATTTATCTGATTTACCTCTTGTTCTGGAGCAGTTCGGTTTGAATACTGACTGTGCTCAAAGTGCTCAAGATGTAGTCTATATCAATTAGTTGTCAATGATTCTTTCAGTTGTAACTTCCATGGAGTTTTATTCTCCAGCAGAAAATGTTGATGACATTGAATTATGGTGTCAAGCACATTATTGTGCTTGTTATGCAATTCTGCGAGTTATGATTGAAGGTGACAATTCTATGGTACGTACAGATGAAGTAGTCAGTGAGAACGATGCACCTGATTTATGTATTTTCTCTGGTCGTAAAAGGCTTTTAACTGTGACTCGTTCAGCAATTGGTGAATTTTTAAGAAAATTACAATATTACAAAGGTAAAGCGAATGCTAAAATGGATGTGCTTTCTTCCAATACTATAGTCAACTACTTCCACAACATTTGACTGATTTATTCTGGCATAGATGGTGACGTGAATATCTTCCGATGCTGCAAGCAAGATCTAAATGGTTGGATATAAAGCGTAACCTACAACCTAGTGGTCTTGTCTTAGTTAACAGTACTGACACACACAGAGGTCTCTGGCCAAATGCTGTAGTTAAGCAGGTGTACTATGACCAAGATGGCCGCGTCAGGACTGTGCATTTGGAAAGTGCAACTCAAGAAGTCGAACGAGATATAAGAAGCGTGTGTCTGTTGGAAGAAGCAAACAACTTGAAGGTTCCAGATACAACAAGTCAACGTGATGATCGTTCGCAGGGAGTGTTAATCGTGACAGATAGATAGTTTGACAGATAGCTAATCGATATTATATGACCCTTTTGTCGTGATTATTGGCTAATTTAATGTAATTCTCACCACGTGATGTGACCTTGAGTGTTCTTTATTTCCTGTCACTCTATTGTGTGTATATGTAATTAATAATTTAATAATTCCCATTGTAGCATTAAGAACACAATTTTCAGCGAAGAGACTCTTTTCAACGAATTTATTATCAAGCTGCACAATCGTATATATATGGTTTTATGAAGAAATATGTGCGAAGCTCTATTCTGGAACACCTGATCGACTTCTGTCACTCTGTCAACCCTGACTATGATTTCAAGATCATATATAGAATTCATGCTAACTTCCCGCGTTTTCTTCGTTACAGACTTCTAAAGACAGCTGAGGCCTTGGCAATTCATGACTTTAAGCCAGACCTTTGTGTACAAAAGAAGTATGTACAATCCCTACTTCTGCCTTGGCCGTAGAGGGATAGACATTTATTTATTTTGTTATTCTATGTACTTTTCCCTTATTACTTCGATTATTTTTATTATTATTATTACGACTCTCACTCTGAATCTTTTCCACTTAACCTACTTGACATTTTAAACCAAAAATTATTCATGTATATACTTTTTATTTTTACAGTATTAAATTCTATTTTATCAAATTTCACACCATGTTACGTAACATTTTATATTCGTCTATTAATCTTATAATTATATACATCTTAATATATGTGTAAAACTTGGGCACTGTGGTCATAAGTAATTCCATACTATTTTGTTTATTAGATGTATCACACAGTAAAGCAGTATTATTTACTGGATGACGTTTTGGAACAAAATTTATTGTTCATAATCATATCAATTGTAATCACACGACTTTGAAATTTTAGTTTTATAGTTTTCTTTGTCGTAATGGTAGTAGAATTTTCCATATATCTGGGACAGGTGTTGAATCACTTTTATTACATGTATTTGCAGTTGATTCTAAAAACAAAGCTTCTGTTATCAAGATGAAGCTGTGTGATACATCTAATAAACAAACTAATATGGAATTATATACTTTTCTCCAAAATCTATACACCTTATGTATTATTCTATGTATGACATTAATTATTGTGCCACTTGACTTAAACTATGAATATAATCACAAATATTTTCATTTCATTTCATACTATTATTATTTTATGTATTCACACCTTTGACCTAATTACCTCACCTGATATAATTTCTTCATTAAACCATATATATATATATATATATATATATATATATATATACATATATAATTAATTGTTCATTTTGACCGTTCCTTCAATACTGTTCGGTACGTTTTTGTCTTTTCTTGAGTGACAATGGATTTTGTGCTTTTCTTGGTGTAATTGTATGCTTTATTTTATGTTTTAGAAACAGATAAAGTTTAAGTGAAGTTACTCTGTTTTTAACTATAGTTAAGCCATGACTCTGTATCGTCAGTACTGAGGAAGGACTAAATCTGTAGGCAAAACTAATCCTACAACAGCTATCCAGACAAATTTATCAAGAAACACAAGACCAAGAAAACGGAAAGGGACTATTCTCCATCTATAACTGAGACGCCTTTATATATACGATATACCCAGCGAAACAATTACTAAGAAGTTAATAAAATCAGTTCAAAGAACTTATAATGCTGGTAAACTACAGATATTGTTTTCTACACGACTGATGGGGATTCCTCAATTGAAAGATGAAGTACCTAGACTAACTAGTCACCTCTATTTGTATCTACCAATTCAAGTGCGCTTTTGGTGGGGCGAGTTGTATTGACCGTTCCCGCAGGAAATTCATTTTTCGTGCTTGCCCGCTAACACCTACCAGTGTGGTTAAATAAAGGTATAGTGAAAGGCATAAACAGCTCGATATTAGACCACCTGGTCCAAACCGGCCACAAAACGAGCATTGAAGAGTCCTTCTCTATTATCTGTCGGATACCAAATAAATTGCTAAAAGCAACCAGGTACCGCATACTGCAAACAGCTGAGGCTATCGTGATTCGCGTGAAACAACCAGTGCTTTGTGTGCAAATAAGCAAGTCCAGTCACTACTA